AACACCGGGCAGCTCGTCCTGCCCTGCACCAGCTGCGCACGGGGCAGGGGACGGGACAGGGGATGGGGTACGGGACGGGGCAGGGAACAGGGCAGGGGACAGTGCAAGGGACGGGGCAGGGGTCAGTGCAAGGGACGAGGCAGGTGAAGGGCAGGGGATGGGGCAGGGACGAGGCAGCACCCTGGGCCTTACCCCCCTCGGTGGTCTCCGATACTAGCTTTATGATCTTGTTTTCCCCAAGAAAACTCAGCCGGGGGGAGTCTGTGTCTGCAGACCGCCAATCAGGGTGGTCTCTGCTCTGTCCCTGCTGTCCTCTCCGGAGCTGCCCACAGGGGACAGCGCTGCTGGAGGGAGGGGCGCTTCGAGCGAGTCCAGGCTCTGCCCCCTTCCTGGCATGCGTGGGCGCTATAGCATATATGCAGCACATGTGTGTAGCCGTGTGGAAGCCTGGTTAGTGATGCGGGCACAGCAAGGGTGTGTAAAGCCTGATGGTGGGGGTCAGGGCGCACGCTCGAACCCCGGGCCTGGGGCCGGTGGGGCAGAACAGGGCAACACGCAGGCCCGCACGGCACCGGCCCAGGTCCAAGTCCTGGGTCCCCCTGAACAGCCACGCTGGCACAGGCAGGCCCGTGGCTTGGGCTGGCCGAGCTCAGGTGTATGCCAAGCGGGCCCGGGTGGGGTCACTCTCCCTCTCTCCCGAGAGGGGTACCTCATTAGAAAATCCAGGCCCGAAGCTGAGGCCGTCAGGTGGCGACTCTCCTGCTGGAGAGAGCTCTGGGCTGACAGGGACAAAAATCAACAAAGCCAGCACAGTCCCCTCCCGCCGGGAGATGTCTGTTGAGTGAATTTCTTGGGGGAGGGTAAGACAAACAATGATGGGTCAGGCTGAGGGCCTTCTCTGAGGGGGTGCGGAGACCGTTCCTTTCATGCGGATCCTCAGACTCAGCGCTTCCAAGGGAGAAGGACCCCAACTTGAAGGGTGTCACACCCCACGCCATGCCCTGCTGTCTGAGTGCCCTCCCCCACCTCTGACCTACAAACCCGACACTGTCCTTCAAGACTCGTCCCAACAAGGCCTCCTCCACAGTGAAGCCTCACCAGACTTGCTGCGGGGTGACTGGGCCTTGCGGCACTCGCGCAAGCTCTGCATGTTCAGGGCAACTGTGGCCCTCACCGAGCTCGCCCAGAAGGGCCGGGCTCCCCGCAGCTCCTCTGCAGGTGCTGAAGCTGGTTCACTGCTCCGCGGCTCAGGGCAGGCGGCAGTCGGTACGGGTCTACGCCCTCGCCTGCACAGAGCTCCAGCCCAGAGATGGCCCGCGGGACAGAAGAGCCACACCTACGTCTGCGTCCTGTCCGGCCGCCCGGTGAGGGGGCCACCACCTAGGCCTTCACGGCCACTCGGGGGGTCCCACGAAGAAGCCCAGAGGGAGGGTCTTGGACCTTCCTGCAGGGTGACCTCGGCCAAGACCCCGGTGCCGCCCTGCCCGGCTCTGCCTCAGCCGTGGATGCCGCTCCTGCACAGCCCCAGGGCCTCTGGCCAGCCCAGGCCACACAGACAGGAGCCACATCTCCGAGTCTGCCAGTGCGGGAGTCCTCTCCAGAAACGTCACACCACACCCCTCTGTCTTACTGGCCAGAATGGGGCCACTCCCAGGGCCACCACCAGTCGTAGGCAGGGGATTGACCATGCCAGCACTAGAGCGAGGCGGAGGCTTGAAGGGAGGCTCGAAGGAGGTTCGGGGGCTCTCCAGGCCCGCGGAGGCAGGTCAGCCAGGCTGAGCAACCCGGTGCCGTCACCCACCACCCTGTCCTCAGCTCCCACCATGGCCCCAGGCAACTGGCGTGCTGCACAGCAGAGCGGGCCTCGGTCCCCAGGCTGGGGCGCACAAGTGACCACGGCTGGTGGGACAGCACAGTGAGGCCAGCGAGAGTGCTTTTCCCTCTCCCTCTCTCAGGAAATACAGTGCACAGGAAAGGCCACCCCGTGGCCTGGCGGTTAAGGCAGCCAGGCCCACACGGCCCACGCATTGTTCGAGTCCCGGCCCAGACACAGTGCATGTGTGTGCCCCAGATCCCAGGACAGAGGGGTGGAGAAGGGAGGCAGGCTTGACCATGCCCGTGGGCACTCCCCCCACACACACACCCTTCTGCGACTCCCCTCCAAGTGGGCCAAACCGGAACTCCAAGTCCCCAGCTGCACTCTGAGGAGGGTCCTCCACTCTCCTGCTGTCTCCAACCCCAGTAGGCTGCAGGGACCTTTCCTAAAGCAGGTCCAGAGGAGGGGCCGGTGGGCTGGGGCAGCCAGAAAGACCCTTGTGGGACGAAGAGAGCACAGAACGTTAGTCTCACCCACGTCGGGGCTCGGCCCACAAAACACCCTTTCCAGAAGCCAGGCTCTCCGAAAGCACTCACTCGAGCCACCTGGTCAGCTCTGCCCCTCCCGGCTACCGGCAGGGCCCACTGAAGCCAGGCTCCCCGACAGCCCAGGACGGGTTGATTGAGTCAGCTCCTGGAAGACTCAACTCGCGGTCAGCAGATCCCCGGATCCCCAGGGAGGGACTCCGAGCAGAAAGTGGGGTGTGTCATCCTGGGCTGCACAGCCGAACAGCGCAGCCCAGTGTTCTTGTTCTGGGGTTCTGGAGGTCCAGGAGCACAGTACGCATGTGGCATCTGGGGGTCCTCCCTGGCTCCTCCCTGCTCCCCGTGGCAAAGGGGTGCCGAGCTCGCTGGTGTCGTCTAAGGGCACTAATCCATCATGAGGGCTCATTCCCTCCTCCTAATGGCATCCGCATGGGGGTGAGGGTCCCCCCACGGTTGTCCGTAACAGACAGATGACAGAACTGTAGCCTCGGGGTTCCAGCGCCCCAGGTCCTGGGTCATAGTGGCTAACCGGAGCAGGCCACGCTGCCCTCCCCATGCAGCTGAGGGCCTCTCTCGGGGGCAAGTCTGGAGACCAGAGTGGTCAGGACTACGGGGATAGAGCTGTGACAGGAGGCTGGCGGGGCTCTGGGTGTTACCAGGGCGCCAGGAGCCTTGGCCCAGGCCACTGGTCCAGCCAGCAGGGAGCACAGCAGCGAGGCCCCTGGGGAGTGCCGTCCCTGCCGTGAGGAACGGTGCCAGGCGAACATCACCTGCAGGGGTCTTTCGAGACCATGGGGCACCTGTTAGAAGGCTCAGATCACGGTCAGGTACAGGAAAGGCAAGCACCCTAGGTGGGGAATGGCAGATCCAGACAGAACGTGAGGGCTGAGGGAGGGGACCCCCTCAGGGACCAGGGACGGCATGGCAGGGCAGGGAGGCACCCTCATATGGGGACACGTGGGTGTCCCCTATGAGCACTGCAACATCAAGACTGACCTGGCCACCTGGGGTCCGAACGGTTTGCCATCGCAATTACTGGGGACCCTTGCTGTGGTCAGGACGGCAACTCCTGGCTAGACCAGTGTCGCCACACTTCACAGGTGAGTGCACGGGGCCCAGGAGTCACGGTCGGTGGGGAAGCCCCAGGGCTAGGGCTTCGGTTGTTTCTACACTCATTTTTTTCTGTGAGAGGGAGACAGGAAGAGACACAGGTGTCCCCAAACGGCGTCTCCACGCCACGACCACGCCCAGTCTCAGCCGGCCATATGGCTGCACATGGGCTGAGGGAGGTCCCAAAAGCACCAGGGGGTTCCAACCCACAGTCCGGCTTGGGTGTTCGAGTTTGCTGTTCACTTGGGCAACTCCAGAGTACGCTCCAAAGCCAGATGTGACCTGAGCCAGGTATGCTTTGCCTGGACCCCACGCCCCTATAGCCCTGACGAACGAGAGGCCTCCAGCGCCCTGCCAGCCCACCCTACCGCCGTTTGACTGCAAGACAGCCAGCAGCACGCCTCACGCTTCCGCTCTGTAAGGGCTGGACGGGCAGCACACAGCCCATCCCGCGCCGAGTGCCACGACCTGTCCCCTACACAGGTTTGGACTGGACCCTCCAAAGGTGAGCAGCCACCCAAGGAGCAAGGTGGGGGTAGAGACGCCAGATCTGGCAACCTTCACCTGCAGCCCCTCGCCCGCCCGGCCTCAACACCTCACTCCTCTCCTGAGCAGCATTGTCATGTGGCCCGGGCACCCTTCCAAGGGACTGTGACAATTTGGAGACAGGGCAAGTCCGGGCTCTGGCGAGCGTGAGGAGTAGCAGCCATGTGCTCTGGTGCAGAAGGTCCCCACGGTAGGGCGGGGAGCAGCCGTGCAGCCGCTGGGGCAGGAGGGGTCGCGTCACACTTCGGGAGAAACTCTGCACCCCAACCCCACAGGTGTCCCAGAGGGAGAGGGCACCCCCAGCTAGGCAGGGAAGGCCCTGCGGGTGCCACTTTAAAACCACAGCCCTCTGCAGGCAGGCGGGTGTCTTTGGTTCTTCTCCTGTCCTGCTCCCCCGAGGCTGCAGGGCAGGGCAGGTCCATGGTGGGGTCAGCTGCCTTTCCAGGTGTGCGATCCCAGCCTCTGGTCACACCAGCACCATGAGCAGGAGGCTCTGGGTCAGAGCGTGTCTCCAATCCGCCTCCCAGCTGACTGTTCACACCCCTCACCCCTCCCTAGCACTAGGGGGTCCTCTGCACGGTTCCCTGGAGATCACCCTAGCTGGGATACAAAGTACCCTACGTGCACACGTCTACCCCCACCCACCCCTGCAGGGCCCGCACTGGCACCCAGCAGTAAGTTCCGCAAAGCTTCGGTTTGCTACTGAAGACCTGGGGTGGCCCCAGGCAGCCTGCAGGGGAGACTCCCTGCTTCGTCAGCAAAGAGGCACAGCACCCAGGTAACAGTTTCTGCTAATCGAAGACAAAGGCCCAATCTGCAGTTGAGAAAGGCTCCAGTGAGCTGACATTCCACTTACTCCCACTAGGTGGAGACCTTGCTTGTATTTGCCAAAGTCCAACGCCCTGCTGGGGGCGGGGGATTCCCACTAGAAGTTAAACTAAAAGATAAAAATAAATAAATAAACCCCATCTACTAAGTGCTTATTTGCCGTCATAGAGCACCTGAGGTGGAAAGAGAGCTAGCAAGTGGGTGGACACAGCCCACAGCAGGGAAAGGCCGGGGACAGAGACCACCCTTGCATCAGGGGCAGCTGCAATCTCATCATCAGACCGGCGTGATCAAGAGGCCCGAGAGACAGTCACTGCCGGGCTGGGACCGATTCACAAAGACCCGGCACTGGCCAGTAGCACCGACCCACAGAGAAACTGTCCAGGTGGGGTCAGGACTCCTGCTCAGCGCTAACCCCTCAGTCCCAAAGGTGGTCGCAGGGTGGGGACCTCAGTGCAGGCCGGGAAGTGCCCGAAACCCCGTGCACCCTGATTCAGGGAGAAACCCAGGGCCTGGGCCAGCCCCGCTCTCGGAGCGGCTTCGCTCCCACCCGCGGTCCCTGGGTCCGGGGCACACGAGGGGTGGGGGGGCGGCAGGTAGCCCTGAGGTCCCGGGTGAGAGGGGGTTGGAGGCCTTTCCTTCCTGCAGCGCTTCTCCCCCTCCCCTTTCTTTCCCGAAAAGCTGCCATCCAGTAAGACGCAGGAGGGCTGCAGCTGTGCTTGGCTGCGCTGGGGTCACACTTAGGGCCATGCAGACCCCCGCGCAGCACTGCTCAGAAAAGAGTGGGCCCTCCAGGCGGGGTCACCCAGCCACGGCCCGGGCCCCCGGCTTGGCCACGA